GTAGCTACTATTTGGGCACATGGACCCTTAGGGAAAAGGAGCCTAACTACCCATATACTGCGACCCTTCAGTACCTAAATTAGGAAGCCCTAAAAGCCCCAAGTATAGGGCTTAGGGCTGAAGGCTTAGGGTTTAGGGCTTAGGGTTTAGGGATTAAGGCTTTAGGGTTTATGGGCTTAGGGTTTAGGGTTTTTTTGGTTTGAAGGCTCCTTTTTCGGTCCGCCTGAGCCTCCCGATGAACCCCGCGACCGCGGGGTGGGCGATGGCGGGTATTTAGTATTTTGTTTATCGACAAGGCCTTATGCAACCCCCAGATTTAGGGTATCTGTCTTTTTCTGTGGGGACTACATGCCAGTCGATGTAGCCAGCCTCTGGGCTTCAAAATCTCCACCAGCCTCGAAGCTTCTTGAATCATGCGCGATACTTCTGAGAAGTCCAGGAGCTGAGTGCCCTCACTCTCTACGATGCTCGTTTCGACTGCAGAGTACGCAATAGTCTGCGGCACACATACTGCAGCAGCAGCACCAGCCTTTCTGACAGATTCCAGGAAGAATGTGCCAAACAGGTACGCATCCGCGACCTTCCCTGTCAGCTTTGGGGGTACAAGAGCCAGGGTCTGGATCAAGTTGATGTTCATGACGGCGCGTAGCACCAGGTACACTCTCTGGGTGCTTAGGGTTTACGGTCTCGGGTGCAAGGTTCAAGGTCCAGGGTTTAGGGTTTAGGGTTTAGGGTTCAGGGCTCATACCCCAAGCCTTCTTTTAGGGTAGCTAGTCTTGCGGCTAGGGTCTTTCGATTGAACAGTAGCTAGCAAAGAAATCAGAAAGGATAGGCTATAACACTGTAGGTATAGGTACATGAAGCCTTAACCCAAAAACCTTAACCCTAAACCCTAAACCTCAAACCTAAACCCTAATTGGGACCCTTGTAAGGGAAATCGACAAACACCAGTCCTGCTCGATGTTCTGCGTCAACTGACCTCCCTTCTTGAAGGCCTGCAGCAGGGCAAAGGGTTTAGGGTTTAGGGGTAGGGGTTTAGGGGTTCAGGGGTTTAGGGTTCAGGGTTTAGGGCTAAAGATCCAATCCGAAAGAGACCTAGAGTGTCACACCCTCGATGTTTAGGATCTGTAATAGAGAAGAAACTACAAACCTTAGAAAAAGGTACTGCAACCTCCGCATTACAACCACGATCCAAAACCCCTTCACGGTTTACAGCCGGCTTTTCGACGGAGATTGAGGCCCTCACTTTCTTTGTGCAGTCGCACACTTCACTTACCAGGACCCCCCAAGGGCCCTTTAATGGAGCTCTTATGGCCAATAATAGTGGGTACTTAGGGTATATTAGAGGGTAGTTGGGGGGTCTAGGTAGGGATGCTGAGGGTATGTGCCGTGTTGCAGTGTTCACGCTACTTGAGCTGCACGGTGGAGCTTCCGAATGTTAGACGTAAGAAAACAAATAGTTCAATTTCGCTCCAAATCTGACCCTCAGATAACTAAACCCTGAACCCCAAACCCTAAACCGTGAAGCCTGAGCCATAAGACTTAAACCCTACACCCTGAGTGGGACCCTGAACCATAAAACCTGAACCTTGAGACCTCAAAGCTTTAAGTCCAAAGCCTTTTCACCAGTGCTGTAGTCCACCGGCATTCTGCAATGCACCTATAAAGTGTAGTCTGTAGGATAAAGTCAACTATTTGGCCTTGCAGGGCATGTTCATAAAATGAGTACACAGAAAAAGTAGCTATATACACATACAGTTATACATATGTGTATATATATATATATAGAGAGAGAGAGAGAGAGCGAGCGGGAGGTATTGCAAGGATACAGCAAATACGGCGTAGATACACGCACACTTTACGGTTCCACACTGTATAACCTCTCCACTATGCGGAGAGGGGACCTTAAAATGAGGGGACCACTTACCGGTGTCTCTTGTTTCAGGGATCCTACCAGGTAGAATCTGTGCTGGCGTCCCTCACATATTGAGCTGCCTGCGCACTACTTATGTGAATACTGCACTGCTTCAGCAAAGGTGCCAGTTCAAACGAAGCCTATAGGTGCGTGCGGTGTGGTAAAACTCACTATGCTTAGCAGTGATGAGCTGCCAGGCCCAAGTTGTTGAAACCGGTTGAAGGAGCAGCACTCGTCAACCTTCGAATGCAGCATCAAAGAAAACAAGGAACAGCAATGATGTCAAGGTATGTCAACGCTCACAGCCGTACTGACAGGAACGGCCTGGAAGGAAGCCAATTCGTGACCCAAAACCCTAGATGCCGTAAAGCCCACGCCTTCTCTCCAACCCTACAAGACCTCAACCCTGAAAACCCTCAACCCTCAACCCTAAACCCTCAACCCTAAACCCTAAACCCTAAACCCTCAACCCTAAACCCTAAACGCTAAAACCTAAACCCTGAAAACCTTGAATTCGAAAGCCTCCATGTTCTCGAGGGTCTTCAGCTGGGCCCACTGGGTCTCGGAGAGCCAGCTCCTGCAAAGGCATGGATCTTAGATGGTTTAGGTTCTAAGGGTTTAGGGTTT